AGAGACCAAATGTCGTTTCATTTCTACCCTCAGCAGCAGTCATGAAAAGGAGGCGACCAAGAAACCACAGACGGCTATTTTAACATCTGCCATGTTCACCTTGAAGCAGTGGCAGAACCATTTCTGGGCAGGTTTAGTCAAACGTAAACCTCTGACTGGGGCCGCGAGGCCTTAAAACTACTGGGCATCATAATTTAGGGAGTCATTCAAACTTGAACCAGAAAACAGGAATGAGGATTTTCCTAAATCCAGGACCATGTTCTGCTCTATGAGGCAACGCAAGTAACTCCTTCAAACTGTTTCCACATGGGACAAGCAGGAAGAGGGCAAAAATGACTAATCGGGGTCAACATTTCCCAGCACGTACTCGGTTCAGGTCTGAGAAAACACTCCGCCGCACTAAGCTCACCTCCCGTGAGCCCGCCTGTCTCATATTACGGCCCTTCGTAAACCCTTAAGCATCCTGGTGAGGAGCTCTTGTGCAACCGCAGTGACACAACCGGTGAATCCATGACACATCCTCACGGCCACAGCACAGAGAGCGCCAGACAAAGTCCAAATGTGGCCATGACCAACGCTGAACTAGCTCTGGTGCTGGATCTGTGTTTGCACTGGTGGTGCAGAGTGTGTGGTGTGAGGTAGTTGGTCAGCTACGCTTACGGATGGATGAGTTTTCTCTGGTTCACAGAGATGTTTGAGTTTTAAAATTACAAGAACATTTAGCAGCTAGGGTAAGGGTGGTGGCAAGACACAGTTAGCTAACTGTCAGGAAAACTGTAAAAAATAGTCAAATCTCTTAAAACAGTGGACACATCTTCACAGTGGACCACGAGGTTGGTGCATACATGCAGCATCACGGCTAATGTCTGACAAAAACAGGCGGCTTTCAGTAAAGGTTCACGTGTAGCACCGTTCAAGATGGAGGTCAGAAGATGCTCAACATCCCAAAGGTGACGCAGGAACACGCAGAGGCCACAGGACGAGCCGCGCGTCCACAGGAGTTCACGCCAACGCCTGAAGAGGAGAGCTTTGAGCTGCTTTTTCAGGAACCCTCGGGTCTCAGGCTTGGGAGGAGAGCAGGAAGCTGTAACAGCTGAATGTGGGAGCCCCATCACATCAACACACCGGTGAAGAAGAAGTAACCTTCCATGAATCTAAATGGAGTCCTTGTGCTGATCCTTGAATGTAAATTCACTCAGTTTAAAGTGAGTTTTGGACAAATTGATATCCAGCGTGTTAAATAACCTTAATAACTAATAATAGCTAAAGTTACTGAAAAGCTAAAGCTATTTAAGCTCTTGGAGTAGCGCTGTACTCACGCTGGTCTTGCTGCACACAGCGAAAGTAGCTCGGCTGGAGAATCGTGTGATGGAGGGACTGCTGCTGGACCCTGGGGCCGTTGTTCCACAGGAACCCTCCGGAGGACTGCTGGAGCGGGGAGAAGAAGGAACGGTGGCCCGGTTGGACTGACTCAGGCTGAGGTAGGTCTGTGTCTGGTTTCCCATCGTCTGAGTCCGTGCTTGGCCCTTTCCATGGACCACCTCCTTCACGTCTTCCTGGTTCTCCTGTATGTTATGTAGGCCATTGCTGTGGTTGTTCAGAAATGTGCTCCTGTCACATGAGATGCTGCTCAGGAGCTCCACCTGAGCTGCCAGAGCCTCCAGCTGACTCCTGAGCTGCTGGTTCTCCTGCTGGAGCTGAGCCACAGCTCGTCCCAGAGGAGCCCTCAGGTTGGCTGTCTCCTCCAAACGGTGCTCTACACCAAGTTTAAAGCTGCTCACATCTGCACGAATCTCTCTGATGGCATCTCTCAAAGTGTTCTCGTAACGCACCAGAGCTGCACACACTGTCTCCCCCTCTGGAGAGGGAGGGCATGGGTGACACAGTTCCTCCATCTGAGCCAGGGTTGGAGCTTCCATCAGAGCCGCTGGTGAAGGTTTGGGGTTATCTGAGAGCTGCTGGCCTACGGAGTCTGTCTTCAGCCTGCTGAGGACTTGGCCGGTGGGGGTGGGGGCTCAGAGCAGAGATGAGTGAATGAGCTTTCAGGAGATTGGGTTGGGCGCACGACTTTTACTCTGATCCTGGATGTCCTGGACCTACTGCTTTTGAAGAATCACCGCTCATGCTGGCGTCTGTCTGAAAGTACAGAGACAAGACTGTAAGAGACACGCTGGAGCGATCGGACGTAATCCACTCTGTGGGATTTCTCCCAAAACAAGACTGCAACAAAGCTGTCAACGGGTTCTCCTAAAGGTGATTAAAGAGAGCACGTCGGACTCTCAGCTCTGCAGCATTAATGCAACCATCTCATGAGCCTACACAGACTGCTGTCAGCAGACCTACCATCGGGATGTCCTCCGGGCTGGATCCAAGCCGTGCTGTGTGGGAGCTCCACCGGCTCTGCTGGTTCAGGCTGATCGCTCCTCTCTGACCCAGAGGAGGGAGGAGAAAGGGAGGTGTCGAGGAAGGGGCAGTGTTGGAATGAAGGGAGGGGGGAGGAAGGCAGACGGCAGCTTTATTTCTCTCATCGTTACACAGCTGGTAAAATTAAACCTTTAAAAGTAAAATGAGGCAAAAACCATCATTTAAACGAAGCAAACACTAAATATGACAGAAATAACAAATGTTCTGTTTTCTAAGCAGGTTTAAAGTCATGGAAACGTTGTGTTGAACAGCTTCAAACGTTGTTTCTGCAAGTTTCAACAGACCGAGAACGTTTGCAGTATTTCACTCCTGCTGAACTACTGCCAGCAACGTTCAGCTTTACTTTGAAAAACTCCAGATGGACCGTAGCCGGCTGCGTAATTACACACACCGAGGTCAGACTTACACAAGCTGATGATGTCAGTGTTTGTTTACCCTCCGAGGAAAACAACAACAGTAAATAGCTTTGAATGTTGTTTAAATCTGTTTTTTTTTTCTGTTGTTGTTGCTGAAAATGTAGAAAAAAAGGATGCATGACTTTGTCTTTACAAACAAAATATTGTGTTTTACTCACCTGCTATCAGAATGAAGTTTGTTACGTTACATGTTGTTGTTTGTGTCCCAAAAATGTGTTTTATTTACTTAGAAACTGGTTTAAAGACAATAAAAGTGAGGTTTTAATGGTTGTTCTGGGTTCTGCCCGCGTTCCACTGAGGTTCTTCCCTGTTGGCTGAGATGAGGCTGGAGACCCCCCCCCCCCCCCCCCCCCCCCCCCCCCCCGTAACTGGACCCCATCACAGCAAACATTCCATAGAGAATGGTAATGGTGTGTGTGTGCGTGTGTGTGTGTGTGTGTGTGTGTGTGTGTGTGAGACAGAGACAGAGTTGCTGAAGCATTATCTTTCCAAGTGTCCACTTATCATTCTCGTTCAGACACACACACACACACACACACACACACACACACACACACACACACACACACACACACACACGTGTGTTCTGTCAGTGAGTGGAGCCATCTGAACATGGAGCAGACAGCATCATTTATTAAACAGTCCTTCTGCTAAAACACCAACAATCCTCTTGCATGCAGCCAGAGCGACACCTGGACGGTCTGGTGTTTTCCTGGTCTTTACGCGTCCTCGTGCACCTTTTAATTCGGCTTTTATCTAAATGAAAATTGGAATATTTCAAATCATAGACAACAGAAAAGTGTAAATGACTTTATGGTAATCCTCATATAAGCAAGCATGTAGCAACGATACAGTCGGTAAAGACGGCTCTCCCTGGCCCTGCCTCCCACATGCCTCCTTCCAAAAGGTTAGTTTATCCTGAGTTATCTCTGTAGTTATGCTGCTATAGGCTTAGACTCAGCCTCGAAACACACTCAGGATTCTGGGGGAGTCCGGTGACAATGCAGGGGGAGTTGTCTGTCTGATCGCTGGGTTCCCCCGTAATTCAAACTCTGCTTAGACTGCTGGAGGACGTACGGACTACTTTCTTCTACCACTACTCTCCATTTGAATAATTCCCTGTTACTTCAGATGTTAACTTTAAGTTTTCTCTAAGTGTTTTTCTCTCTAGAGAAGCTGCACTGGCTCTACGAGAACATTGTGATCAACTGTGTCAAAGGCAACACTGAGATCTAACAAGACTAGAACAGACACAAGATTCTTATCTGAGGCCATGAGAATATCATTTGTAACTCTCACTAATGCAGTTTCAGTGCTGTGATACTCTCTAAAACCAGACTGAAATTCCTCAAACAGAGCATTAGTGTTTAAATGCTCACATACTTGGATGGCCACTATTTTCTCCAGGACTTTGGATAAAAATGGAAGGTTAGATATTGGTCTATAATTCATTGGGTCATCTGGATCCAGAGAAGGCTTCTTAAGTGAAGGTTTGATTACAGCAACCTTAAAATCTTGTGGTACATACCCATTTACTAAGGATAGATTGATTATATCTAGAATGGGGGCAGTAACCAAAGGAAATGCATCTTTAAAAATACTGGCCGGCCCAAAAATTGTAAGCAAATAGGTGTGAGCCTCCTATTGGATAATTACTGCATGGGCAGCCATCTGGTAACAAGTTATGTAACCCCAACTGGTGCAACGAGTTGCTGGTCTGATGAGTCCAGATGGACCCTGTTCCAGAGCGATGGTGCATCAGGGTAAGAAGAGAGGCAGATGAAGTGATGCACCATCATGCCCAGTGCCTACTGTACAAGCCTGTGGGGGCAGGGCTATGATCTGGGCTTGCTGCAGTGGGTCAGGTCTAGGTTCAGCAACAGGATGTACTCCAAGAAAGAGGTCAGCTGACTACCTGAATATCCTGAATGACCAGGTTTTTCCATCTTCCCTGATGGCACGGCCATATTCCAAGATGACAATGCCAGGATTCATCAGGCTCAGATAGTGAAAGAGTGGTTCAGGGAGCATGAACATCATTTCCAGACCTTAACCCATTGAGAATCTTTGTGCAGCAGTCAGACTCCACCATCATCTATGCAAGATGTTGGTGAAACATTAGTGCAACACTGGATGGAGATAAGTCTGGTGACGTTGCAGAAGCTTATTGAAGCATCGCCACAGTGAATGTGTGCTGTAATCAAAGCTAGAATGAAATATTACAGTGTTTGACCTTTTTTGGTGGCGACTTACTTTTGGCCAGGCCGTGCACTTGGGTTGGGATTGGGTCTAAAATAGAAGTTAAAGGTTCAGATGAAGTTAATATTTTGATGGCTCTGAAGGCTCAACTAAATCCATGCAGATGGGGTTAACGCTGATGCTGAGGAAGAAGAAATCATGTTTGGGAGTATTCTGATGATTTTGTTTCTACAGTAGGGTTGATGATCTGAGGCAGATTGCACAGATGCAGGAGTTGTTGGTGAGTACCAGGGTGGGTTTTGGTCCCTGTTGTTGAGGTATGGGCTGTGGGCCATGGTCCATGCTAAAGGTTGTTGGTCTGAGTTATCAGAGGTCTCCTACGTATGGGGCTGGTCGGAGGGCCGAGGGAAGAGATGCTCAGAGGAGCAATCTGATGTCTGGGTTCTGATCCAATCATTGAGAATGGGATGTTCTCAATTACTGGATGAGTATTTTCCAGGATTGTATGTTTCAGAGGTGAGATTAAAGATGTTGGTAAAGTTGCCCTGGCCACTAAATTTTACATGGTGTGTTCAATAAAAACATGGAAACATTTAATTATGTCTGTGGTTTTAGTTTACTCGGACTATGACTGTCTGTGATTGTGACTTAGATCACGTTATGACTAATTTGTGCAGAAATCCATAGAATCCCAAAGGATTCACATAACTTTTCTTGCAACTAATGAAGATCTAATGAAGATCCATCAGTCAGTATCACAACAAGCCACGGGTTTGGTGACATACTCTCGCTCACATATTTGTAAAGGGAGATGATACGAAGACTGCACCTTAAGGTTGTAGTAATGAAACAGAGCTGAGGAAGAACCGATGGAATCAGCCCAACCGCAGATCTGCGCTGCCGACATCGGTCTTCAGGTGCACATCGTTTCATGCAAGAAGAGAAAACAAGAATAGGTCAAATGTCACCCATCAGACGATACGTTTAGAGGCTCTCTCACGCACACGTTACTGTGTTGGCAAGAAAACCTGATGGCTGTGAGACTCAGATAGATTCTCAAGGAAGTGGCAGCATGATTTTACAACATTCTGTTAAGACGTCTTACAACAACATGCTTTTGTGGTCAGGTGCTTTTTTTATTCATACAACATGAAAGGCAAGGAAATGCATGATGCACATCTGTATTGGTTCAGAGAAACAGTTCATTTGTTTATTCTGCTTCCCTTTACAGAAAGGCCACCATCCACTGTCATGCTGCTTTACCACTGGGAATAATTCCAGCTGTGTGTTTAAGTGAATAATGCTTAATACTGAGTAATTACGAAGCAGTTGTTTCTGATTATGCTGTTAATTACAGACACACCAGCAGGACTACAGTGATAGTACACAGCTTTAACCACATTCATTTTCATACCCCTTCATTTCTCCTGCCAACATCTCACATATGTTTCCATGTGGGAGGGTTAGGGTCAGGGGCGGATTTAGCAATTTGGGGGCCCAAGGCAAGCAAAGACATGAGGCCCTCCACAGCTGTTGTTCTGATTTCTTTTTTTAATTCTTACTACAAAAAGGTTGTAAAACTTCTTCACTGGTCCAGTCTTGGATGGCACTGATGTCAAGAATCTCTGGAACTGCATCTGAATGGAAAAAATAATGTGTTTAACAAATGTATTTAGCATGGAATCATTGGATTTGTACAAAAATAATGACATTCATGTTTGTGTTGATTCATTGCCCACCCACTTATTCTCTTCGTTTTCATTTTCTCCGGTGAAACACCGCTATCTCGTGCCTTAGTTGGTCTGCTTTCACTAAAGGAAGCAATAAAACATAGTACAAAATGGTTAAATATGGAGATACAGAAAAAGAATTACATAACCATGTCAAAGTTACCATTTTCTACCTTTGCTTTTCTTTTCCTTCTCTCTCTTCTGAGTCTTGCCTTGAATGCTTTGTTTCTTTCTCTCCTCCTCCTCTGCTCCTTTAATCATCTTGTTTCTCTCCTTTCCCTGTTTCTTGAGCTTTGTAGATTGTTTCTTCTCTTCTCCTCCTCCTCCTCTGCTCCTCTCCTCCTGCATCACCACAACTTGAGCTTCCAGCAACAGACTCCTCCACTTCGCTAAAAGCGTTAGCATTGCTAGCTCTAATGCTAGCGGCAGCTTGTTTATTTGCCGCATTAAATTTGCGACTTTCATTGGTGTTACTCTGCTGTAGCACCGTGAAAAAATTCTGTGACCTTTGGCAGGGTTGACACAAACTTTTTGCTTTCTTCCTGCTTCTTAAGTTTTTCAGACCCACTTGATAACTTCGCTTCATTTTCTTCTCAGACAACAAACGTCCTCTTCTATTCTTCGCTTCCGCAGCTCCGCTGATACGTAACACGTTGTGGATGGAATAGTCCACGGTAGCTGGGCAACGGGGGA